GGGCTGCGGGGAATGTTATGTCAAACATTTTCCCATCTCTGCATATCACCTCGTGAAGGTTAGGGTCCTGATGGACTGAAATGGCTGCATCACTGTGTGGATCGGGTGTGCTTTCATCCTGTGGGGAAGAAGAAAGCATTCGTAGTGGAGCAAAGACTTCCACCATGAGACAACGAGAGTTGCAGAGTAGGAGAGCCGGGGTCACACCTGTAGGATGCTATAGGAAAAGGTGAAGGAACAAGCTCTTTCCTTCAGAAAGAAGGAAAGGAATAAGCTACAACAGCAAAGACGTGTTGCTTCTGGGCCAGGAAGTTCAAACATAAGGAGGAAGGGTAATTAATTTCTACAGCAGAGCTCTGAGGGTTTACAATAAACTCTCAGATGGGCAGAAATAAAAGCTTGTCCTGAATTCTCCCATTCTGAAAGAAGGTAGAATTGAGCATAATATCAGAAAGAACAGTCTGATGGAAATGAGCACTGCTGCATGTTTTTCTGGCCGAGAGAACGGTGTGCAGTACGTCAGGGCTTGGCGCATGGCAGAAGGTCAGAGCCGATTCCGAGAACCCAGTAACAATAGAATCATCATGGACACAGGTGCTTCCGGGCTTGATCTTGCAATTTGGCTGTTTCCAATTAAATGTGAAGCAGCTGTGGCCCTTTATCTGCTCAAGTCACTGGAATCCATCTGAGGGGAAACTTTCTCCCATCTCTTCCCCTCTCCCCACCCCAAGCATGCAGCTCTGCTTTCTGAAGACAGAGAGGGGCAGGGACGGCCAGTTGGCAGAAGCCCCACAAAAAAACCTTGCCTTTCTTATCTCAGGGCAAAGCAATGAGATACTGATTCAGCCATTCATTTTCCAGTGCCTTTATCTGGGGACGAGGAGGACAGCCAGCAAAATAAGAAGCAAATACGAATGCTGTTGAAGGTTGTCAGGCAAACAGATTTGGGACACTTTCCCTCAGGCAACAAAATAAACAAATGAAGCCAATGTGAGGATAAATTCTCAAGTGTTTATGGCACTGTTCTGCATGCTGAGTACAACAGGGTTTCTTTTACAGAAAGGGATCGAGCTTTAAAGAAGGTATTTTCAACAGCCAGCTGGTGGGATTCTAGGAAGGTCAGCACTGGGCCACCAGGCAGATCAACGGGAGCTAGGGGATTTCAGAAATCCAGCCAGTGAGAGCTCCCAAATAGCTCCACACCAGCTAAAGGTACTTTATATGAACTTTTCTTTGCCAGTTCATTGATTCTGGAGCCATCAAACCCCTCCATGTCTTGGATATCTCTTCTAGCCTGCCAATGTCTCACTTTATTTTTCCCCAGTACCTTAAGAAAGGGAGAACTTGGCTCAAATTTGTGCTTGTCACTAGACAACAGAAATGTGAGACTCTAGGTATTCATTTTGGTCGGCTTAAAAAGCAGCCATTTCACAACCCATGCTTAGCATTTTGGACAGAGGAAGCCAACAATCTTCTGGCTTTACCCAGCCTGTATGTAACTGAAAGCATAAACAGCTTTGGTCTTTGCCCTGTTTCACTCTTCCCAAGGCTCTTCTGATACACAGGAGCAGTACTAGTTATTTTCTAAAAAGGTATTCTCTTGTCCTTTCTGAAACTGAAATGGATGGCAGAGCTTAAATATCATAACAGACCACCCCACCTACCTATGGTACCACTGCTTCATTATTATTGAACAATAAAGATCAGACTACTAATAATTTCAATAATAACAATCATACTGTTCTAGGAACAGAGGTATTAAAGAAAAATAGTTATTTGCTTTTTTGGCAAGGCAGCATTGGTAGTAAGTAGGACGTAGCACGAGTGTTTTGCTAAAGTTACTTTCATCATTTCAAATAATGGGGCTTCTGACTTAACCGGAGAAAGATTGTCCTGCAAATTACCCTCAAGAAATCACTGAAATTCAGCCAAACCTACCCTCAGTTTCAGTATGATATAACTCCAAACATTCCTATGTGCCAGCTCAAATTGTTCCTCTGTTCTTCTGCACACAAACTGTCCACAACAGTCCTTTTTTGAATTCCCTTGGCCAAAACATAAGCATGTAGCTGCTTCAGTTTTTTCCAATCCTTGCTGTTTTTTCCATGTGCTGTCCATCCCCACCAATCTCTACATTAAAGTCCAGCTGATCTTCCCTGAACACCATCCAATTTTTCAATTGTTAGTGCCAAGAATGCAATGCAGTGGGCTTGACTCCCTTACACAACTTATTTGGAAGTAAAGCAGAAATGTCTCTTTTGGGTTTCAGCAGAGGACAGAAATTATCTTATTTCATGTATGGCTCCACAAGAATCAAGATGAAAACACCGGCATCTCTATAATCCATAAAACAATTTCCGCTTGCAAGCAGCTCAAAATTTGTTGAGCTTCTATTTGTTTATTCTATGCATACGTGTGGCTAGTATAGCTGCTTTCCCGAAACGGTTCCTCTTCTGGGCCTTTCTAACTGTTTTCAAATGTTTTTATTTCATCTTTTAAAAACGAAAGAGGAGAGCAAAAAAAGAAAGGTAGACAAAAATGCAAGGATCCTTAAGACTCTCAATTACAGCAACATAGCCCCAACATCACAACAATTAACTGGCCGTGCTTTCTGAATATGCCATCAATTTTGTCATAACTGTGTTTGACTAGACTGTCTTTTGCAGCTTGCCCAGAAATCATAAAATACAAGCTATTCTAAAAAAGAGAGACAAAATGGTTCGCAGCAGCCTCCTCGCTTCTAAGGGGAAGGCCCAAGCACTTCTGATGGCTACAGCCCCAGCTGTAGGACAACGAAAATACAGTCCCTGATGGGGAGGGAGTCTCTTTTTTCCTAAAGGCAGCAAGCTGTTTTCTATTAATATATGTAAATGCTCTTTATTTAAACTTTCTTTAATCTCCTACTGTTTCTGCACCTTGAGTAATGCAATTTAGTGGCAACTCTGGATTTCTTTACCATGCCATGTATTTTTCTTCCTGTTTTCTCACCTAAGACTGGCCGATCTGCCTGGATCATCAGGCCACAGGAAAACATACAGCGCATCTAATCTTTTTGGAGTACAAACACATACTCTCTCTCAACTCAATCCAGTACTCACGCACAACAGCATACCCTTTAATAAAGTTTTGTATGTTCAATGTTCAGAACAGACCCCACTGGAATTAGGGTACTAGTCCAGACAAAGGGACCAACCTGCCCAACGCTCTAGTCTGGGAACAGAAGCTACCAAGTGTAGGATAATTCAACTGAGGACATAGGCACCGTTCTAGGCAGCAGTCCAAAGTCCACTTGCTTTCAAGTACGTTTCCCCCAGGGACTGACAATTTTAGGGAAGACATCATGAACAAGAGACACTGCTGCCGAGGTAGGGGAATGCATACACAGAGGTGCCCCATATTGCAAATAAGTCAATATTAAGCAGTGGCTTTGTTTCAAGTTTCCTGCCCCATCATGTTAAGTCTGTGATGACGTGTATAGACATATCCCAAGACCATAAAGAGCAGAGACTATTCTTGGACATCTCTCACACTACTGTATCTTTCTTTCTTCTCAAGGGCTTGCAAACAGCCAATAAATTAATAGTTTCATAATTTTCAGTTGAAATACTTTTCAGGGGAAGATGATACTTTCAACTAAATGAAAATTGCTGAGGAAAGTGCTGCTTCCCCAAGAGGAAAGTTTCTTTGTCAGAAACCTAGGAACGGTATGCCTCAGCTGTTTTGGTATAGTTTGCTTGTTATTTCTGTTTTGCTGTATTTTTAGACACAAGCATTTTTGTTGATTTTAGCCAAAATTTCCAGCTCCAGCCAGTTACAGTGTTTACTGCTCTTCCCTGTGCCATGTTGACTTTTCTCCCTCTGCCAAATTGCTTCTTAAACCTCCTCTGAATATATACTCTTCCCTGTGTTTGATAGCTTTTTCTTCTTATTTTCCCCATTGTTATTTAAGACTGTGCTCAACATATTCCAAGAAGCATTTACAACAAATGCTCTGTCAAAGACACTTATGTACAGTTGAGCCATATTATATTCTATATGAATCATTGCGGATGTTTCACAAACAAGGTTAGATCAGCCAGATTTTCCAACTATATTAAACATAGCTTTTTCAGACATGTCTACTAGCCCTGCGATTAATCCTCCATATTGAAACTCACCTCATATTTGGACCGTGTCATGTCTGCCCACCAGGGACAGGAGCATGCTGCTAACGCTTTCTCCTAATGAGGATAACAATCCTATGACAGAGCAATCTCAGCCAAAGCTAGACGGTCTCTCACCATCCCTCCCAGTTTTATTGTCTATGATATCTTTAGACAGAGACCTCATCTAAATGGCCAAGAAAGAGAAAAGTCTAGGGGAGGAAGGAAGTCTGTTTCACCAGACAATTTTGTGCCATATTTTATCGTATACTAATTAAGATTGCCAAGACCCTGGTAATCAATCCTTCTTGTCTGCTTTACTTGATCAGATAGATGGAGAAGCTCAGGGAATATTGCATCACCACCACACTTTCCAAGGTGCATCTGCCGCATTAAATCTGGTCCTTCGGGCAAAACTGAAATTCCACCTGAAGAAGAGCAGCCTGACAGAGAGGCCTGAAAAATGAAGTTGGTGGCAGTCTACTGCCCTGCAATGGTGAAGCAAGTAAAACCCCATGAAGAGAAAAAGACAAAACAGCTACGGGGGAAAATGAACTGAACGAGATGTTTCTTGAAAACAGAAGGAAACTGTGGCCCTTCTGATCTGGTACAGTGAAGCAGCTGTGATATGAATAATGCTCCCAAGTGAAAAAAACAGCCACTGAGGCTCCGTGTGTTTCCAAACTTACACAATGCTTTACAATGCACTTTTTGTCTGGAACGTGGGTAGGAAAGGGAGGTTCCGCACCCCCTCACCCACCTCCTGTACTAATGCAATGATCTTGCTTAGTCACAGAAAAAGGGAGAGAAAAAAGAAAAGGAGAGAAAGTGATTAATAATCTGTGGGCAGCTGCTTACTTTCCAATTGGTTGTCCAGGAGGGGTGTGCTCCACTTCAAATCCTGCTTGTCTCAGTACATCAATCACAGTGTTGTTACCCAGGAAGTGACCTAAAATACAGGTAGAAAATAGCACTGTCAATCAAACTGCTCCTCTCACTCACTTGAGTTTCTCCTGTTGGAACAAGTTTGGGAGGCAAGGTTACCAGAAGCTAGACCAGCTCCAAAAGCAAGAAAGGCACGTTATGCAATTTGTTGTAATTCAGGCTCAGCTATTCACCAGGTAGCCCACTGCAGCCTTTGGCAATGGCCAGAGGAAGAGACAGCGTACAGTCTGATACGCTCTTCTTCCATGTTATTTACCCCTCCGTCCCCTCACACGGCAAGGGACCGGGTGGATAAAAGAAAACCTAGATGAATTGCTAGTCTTGTCTTCCACTGTGGCCATTTTTGGTATGTGCACGGACTAAATAAACTTCTAACATGGGTATCAGAATGACCCTGCAGTGGCAAAAAGAATATTACTGGGGCTTTGACTCACAAATTGGTACAACCCCAGATGTCCACCCTGCTCATCATCGTTCATGGACATCTGCTTATGAAGAAGCTCTGAAGCTGCTGTACTGCATGCTCAGTGCTTATCTACCTAAAACGGCAGTGATTCAGGAATTGCTTCATCAACTGCTCAGCCACCTGCACAGCAGGGTTGCGAGGAGCTGGGACGGTAACCTTATCTCTCCCAAAACGTGAAGATTTACTCCTGTAAATCAGGGCTCTTTGCTAGAAGTGTAAAGGTCACATTCCTATTCACAGAAGTAACAAAGAGCCCAATAAGTATTGCAGCATGTACGGGCCTTGAAAGAGTTTACTTAAGGGAGTCCTATATACTTGAGGTCTGAACCAAATCCCACTGGAGTCAATGGGAGCCCTCAAAGGACTTTGGGTACAGACTCAATAAGACAGCGTAATCCCTTCGAAGCTTTCAACTTATTGTCAGAGTCCCGCATTGTTTTCAGGATGGGTTAGCTGTATAAAGTAAGGAGGCAAGAAGTCCACTAACAGGTTTATTAAAATCCACGTAGCCCAGTAACCTGTCTCCAACTGTAGCCTGTGGTCAATGTTAAAGGTATATAAATACATACGTGAATGACACTGAGAAAGGACAGAACAATCCTCCTCCATTATGTCCATTAGCTTCCAGCTCTGCACGGCTGGATGACCCTCATTTACACCCAGGTCATCGCATCTCACTGCCAGCTCTGAATAGACCAATTCACGACGAATGTGCTCAAGCCTCTGCCTCCATGTACTTTCTGCCCTCTGACATCTTGCAGCAGGGAGTTCCACCACGTGCCGCGTGTAAAAACGCACTCCTCCGGTTTGCTGCTGCCTTAAGCACAGTGTGTTTGCAGGAGATGCTTGTAACTGCCCGGCTCCATGGCAGAGCCAAATGCCTTGCACTGAAAAAACAAGGCAGGCAGGACATGCCAGAGTCTCCTCCATGCATGCCACTGCGTAAGGAGCTGGCGTAACCGTCAGTAGAGTCACCCCTAGGACACCTCACCCATACGGCACAAAGTCGCTATGAATTTGAGAGTAATTCAGTCCCTAGTATTCACTAAGCCTGCATCTCTCCACTCACGCTGCCAACAAGGGCGCTAATTCGCATCAGTTGTGGGAATGATGTAGTCGTATGGCTTTTAGTGCAACTTGCAAGCACTGGTAAGAGCTTTTAGCCAAAAGACATTTCTTTAAATGATTAAACGTACATTTGCAGAGCCCTAGCGTGTTCCAGGATTCCTCCACTTCCTTTTAGGAAAACTCAAAATTTGATTTTCCCCTGACTAACTTACTTATAACAAAAGCCAAAGGAGCAGAGAGCAGTCCCAAAAATGTGTTACACACCCTCAGAGATTCAAGAAATGAGACATTTGTGAGTGATTAACTGGATTTGATCATATCCTGGTTTTTTATGCAGTGGCCAAGGCAAACAAAGGTCCCCATTCTGGGACTGGCAAAGTGACACTAAGGAACCGAAGTCAAAGGTGTCAAAGTCAGAGATGTTTCTGAGTCCATGGTACAACGCTCTACTTTCCCTGAACCGGAGTCTGAAATGCCAATCATCCTGAATCCAGCAAATCTTTGACATCATGACAGTATGACCCAATTTTAACTGCTTTAAACCCAAGAAAAGAAGTAACTATGCAACAGCTCTGATTCCTTATCCACAAAATGGTAGGACCGTCAACAATGTCAGCTCCCCAGCAAAGCCCGCGAGTCCCTTCAGTGATGGATGAAGACCAAAAGGTGATACCTCTGGACTTCCCATTCCTGCCCTCTGTGTGGAGACCATGATGAAAGCTGCTAGCTCGTTGGACCGGTGATCTGCTGTGAGGGTGGCAGAAAAACACGTGGTGAGATGCGTGTTTCCACAGGGTAAGTCACCCCAAGCTGTTCAGTCCTCTGCTGTACCCCTTTCTCTTGGGAGCTGTCCTCCAGCCATCCAGGAGTTTGTCTCGGATTTAGACTGCAATTACGGGGAACAGATGAGGTTCCTGCCAAGGTAAAACCCACCCACGCAGGGAATGAATGTCCCCAGGACCTCTTCTGAGACTAGGGACTGAATTTGCATATCACAAATGTCCTTACCCTCTGCTCCACGCTCGAGGCTTATTCCTTTAATTTTGCCTTTCCTAACAAGAAGGAATACCAGCTTCCATTAAAACTGCCCCCCCCCGACTCCAAATCTCTGAATAAATGAAAATCTTCATTACAAACTTCAGTGTGAACATAGTTATTTCATTTTAGATCCACAATTCAACACATACTAAAATATTTTCAATGCTCCAGTTCAACCAAGAGAAATCAAAACAAACAAAAAAAACCCCCAAAACCCAACTTCAAGCTGACCCCTAAATAATTCTTCATTCCACATACATCAACAGAACCTGAAGCTTTAACAACTGCTAGGAAATGGCATGAGCAGGTCTTTGCAAAGCTTTACGTTAAAATTTTCCTGTTTGCATTATCCCACGTACATCTGGGTAAATCACCACCCGTCTCACCATCAGCTTGTCCTGTTCATGCATCCTTTCCACCTGACTGCAAGATTTCTATATGGACCAGCTCTGACTTCTACTTGTCTTAACTTTTCTGCTCAGTCAAAATTTACATATTGCGATTGGTTTTGTATCCATCTGTTTATTTTACGTCACAGTAATGCTGCTGTGGCCAACTCATTATCTCATTATGCACTCTACAAGCAATTTGAAGTCATGCTCTACCTCAATGATGGAAAAACTGAAAATACGCATGCTCAGACCAGCAACCTTCCCACCCAACACAGACACCTTCCCAACAGTGATCCATGGTATCCCATGGCAAGGAGCTCCTCGGGATCAGAGATATGTGGAAGAGGAAGGTTTGAGGAAAAAGGTGGCACTTGAGAGGTCCAGTGCAGGTGGGTAAAGTGAAACATGAAAACACCCTCATGTCATTGCTGTACTTCCAGGGTTAAAGAATTCCTGGAAGAAATGTCTTGGCTTGCCTCCTGCTGCTAAGTCCACCATAGTTATCCTTCCCAGTTTTAAAATCCAGGAAAATTTTCTGTATGAAAAATTTCTTATATAAAATGACTCTCCTTGGTCACATACAACTTGAGACAAGCATTCACTTGTTAGATACCGACAACAATGTAATAATTTTGACAGCTTATGGCATGCCGTGAAAACGAATTTAATCTGTATATTAGAGACAATTAAGCTCAGCATCAGTGAAAAACATCAAATCCCTGCCTCTGGCTGCCCATATGTGCAAACAGAATATGTAATAATTGCCAGATTTTTTATAACATCAGAGGATTTAATTTTTATTTATAGCTATAAAAAAAATGAAGTTTATATATGTGCGTCTGTGTGTGTTTGTGTGTGTATGCTTTTCTAAAATCTTTTAAAAATTTCTCTGCCTGGCCTGGAAATTTTCATTTAAAAAAAAAAAAAATCAAGAAAGTATAATTATTGAAAAGTTAGTGCATCTAGATACATATCAGACAGATTAGAGAGACAGGGGAATGTTCTTGCTTCTCCATCACTATTCCCTCTTCAGTCTCAACCTGAATAAACTATCCATGCAGTATTAACCAAATTTACCTTGACAGCTGATGAAAACTGGATCCAAGAGGTCAGAACACCAACTGCCTCGGGAAATCCATGCAAGTATGGGAAGAGGAGAGAAAGCAGACATAAAAGATTTTCTAGATAGGGACTTGAAGTGAAAGTCTGTACTTGGGCATGGCGATAGTACAAGCCTCTCCTAACAGCTTAAGATTAAAAAAAAAGGTGTGGATGCAATCCTTCCACCCTCTAAGGATAAGGAGATACTCAAGAGATTTGCTTGAGGACAAGACCCAGTGCTAAACACAGAGTCATTTTGCTGTTTGAACATAAACGCAGCGGAGTGGCTAGCGTGGCTCACTGCACTTGGCGGTGTTTCTTCATTAAATTTGATGAGGCCAAGATTATTCTCCTTTCACTCATGTCTTGTTTTTTCGAGACAGAGGATCTGGAGACACTGGAGGAACACGTTACACAGCATGGTTGCTAACATTAATCAAACACCTTCCATTCCTGGTTTGCTTTTTTATTTTTAATTAAGAACTGTGCTTCGGACTACACAAAGCAGATGCATGTAATGCATTTCCTTACCTCCCCAAAGTTTCATTTTTCACTGGAAGAAAGAAAGAATAAACCACTTCGTTTTTTTACAAAAAGATGAAAAATACATGATTTCCTCAAAGCATGCACATGCGCGCGCACACACACTGCTGAAAAAATGCATTTTCGTCCTTTCTTAGTGGAATATCCTGAGGCGGAGAGAAATACACTTCTCAGCCAACTCTAACAGTAACAGCCACGTATTTTCTAATTGACCACAGAAACTAAAGCTCTCCTTTACCATTTCAGATGTTCTGGTGACCCCCATCAATAGCATACCTAAGCATACGGTTGCATCCCTCAAAAGTTAAATGAACTTGGGTGTTCCTACACAGAAAAATATAACCTTGTTTTGATGACAGAAGCAGAAAAAATGTTTTTAAGCAAATGTAACATACT